TCCTTCCCAATAACATGGCTTTTATTTCTTTTTCTTGCATAGTTGCTCTAGCTGGAACTTCCAGTACCGTGTCCTGACCCAAAATGAAATGCTTTCAGTCTTTCACCATCTGGTATGCTGTTCCCTGTGGCTTTTCGTGTTTGACTTTTATTATACTGATGTGGTTCCCTTTTTCTCCTAGTTCGTTGAATGCTTCATTTATTGATTTTTAATCACAAAAGCATATTAAATATTTGCTTTTTCTGCATCAGTTGAGATGGTCATGTGGGTTTTTTTTCTTCATCCTGTTAATGTAATGACATTGATGGCTTAGATGTTGAACTAACCTTGCATTCTGCTTGGTCATAGTGTGTAATCCTTTTAATATTTTGCTAAATTGGGTTTGCTAGTATATAAGAGTTTTGCACCAGTGATCAGAAAGGATGTTTATCTTTCTTTCTCTTGTCATGTCTTTGTCTGGCTTTGGTATCAGGGTTGTGCTGGGTTTACAGAGTGAGTTAGGAGATGTCCCTTCTCTTTTTAATTTTTTGGAATAGTTTTAGAATGACTGATGTTAGTCTTTCTTTACATTTTTGGTAGATTTTACCAGTGAAGTCATTGGATCCAGGGCTTTTCTCTTGTCACATTTTTTATATTGATTTCAGTCTCTTAACTAGATATAGATCTATTCAGATTTTCTGTTTCTTCATGAATAGTCTTAGTAGGTTTTGTGTTTCTAGAAATTCATCCATTCATCCAATTTTTTGCGCATGGGTACTAATGTATTCTCTTTTAATCCTTTTTATTTCTGTTAACTGTAATAATTTTCCCACTTCGGTTTCTGAATTTAGTAATTTGAGTCTTTTTTTTTTTCCTTAGTCCAACCAGCTTAAGGTTTGCCAATTTTATTGATGTTTTCGAAGAATGAACTTTTGATTTTGTTCACTTTTAAAATTGTTTTTCTGTTTCTTTATTTCATTTGTCTTTGCTCTGGTCTTTATTTTTTCCTTCCTTCAGCTAGCTTTAGCTTTGGTTTATTCTCCTTGTTCTAGTTCCATAGTTGTAAAGTTACGTCATCGATTTCCTCTTTTTTTTTTTTTTTTTAAAGATTTTATTTATTTATTTGACAGAGAGAGACACAGTGAGAGAGGAAACAAAAACAGGAGGAGTGGCAGACGGAGAAGCAGGCTCCCCGCTGAGCAGGGAGCCTAATGCAGGGCTCTGTCCCAGGACCCTGGATCATGACCTGAGCAGAAGGCAGACTTCTAATGACTGTGCCACTCTGACGCCCATCCTTACTCTTTTTTAATCTAAGCATTTATAGCTATTAATTTCCCCTTAGTACCACTTATGTTGTACCTCACAAGTTTTTGTGAGTTGTGCTTTCATTATCATTTGTCTCTAAGCATCTTTCAATTTCCTTTGTGATTTCTTCATAATCCATTGGTTGTTTTAAAGTGTTGTTGAATTTCCACAATTTTGTGAATTCTCTGTTAATGATTTCTAACTTTATCTCATTGTGGTTGGAGTAGATGTTTTGTATGATGATCTCTTGGGGCTTAGTTTGTAACATAAGGTCTATCAGGGGAAATGTTCCATGTGCACTTGAGAAGAATGTGTATCTGTTTTTGGGTGGAATATTCTGTATATCTGTTAAATCTAGTTGGCATATTTTGCTTAGTTTTCTATTTGCTTACTTCCATCTGGTTGTTCTAGCTGTAGTTGTGAGTGGATTTTCTATTTACTTACTTCTGTCTGCTTGTTCTAGCTGTAGTTGTTGAGGGGAAAAATAAGGTCTCTAACGATTACTATTGAGCTCTTTCTCCCTTCAATTCTGTCAGTTTTTGCTTCATATATGTTTATGGATTTTCATTAGATGCACAGTTGTTTATAATCATGTCTTCCTGCCTTACTGAACATTTAATTAATATATAATGTCTCTTATAACCTTTTTTGGTTTAACATTTCATTTGTCTGATATTAGTGTAGCCACACCTGCTCACTTTTGCTTACGATTCTCATGGACTGTTTCCTCCCACACGTTCACTTGCAAGCTCTCTGTGTGTTTGGGTCTACAGGGGGTCTCAGCATGTAGACAGTGTGCAGTGGGATCATGTATTTTTGTCCATTGTGTCAGTCTTTGTGTTTTGATTGTTGAGTTTAATTCATTGGTATTTAAGTAATTACTGAAAAGAAGGGACTTAACTTCTGTCATTGTTCAGTTTTTTCTATGTGCCTTTTAGGTTTTTTTTGTTTTTGTTTTGTTTTTTTTGTTTTTGGTCCCTCATTTCCTACATTAGCATCTTCTGTTGTGTTTTGTTAGTTTTTGTAGGGAAATGTTTAAATTTCTCATTTCCTTTTGTTATATTCTGTAGCTGTTTTCTTTGTGGTTACCATGGGACTTACATTTAACATTCTAAAGATATAGCACTCTTATTTGAATGGATACCAACTTAAGTTCAGTAACATACAAAGGCTCTGCTCCTTTACAGCTCTGTCCTCACCCCTTTTGTTTGCTGATGTCACACAGTTACATCTTTATACATTCTGTGCCTAAAAATGTAAACGAATAATTCTTTTAAATACACCAGCCTCTTAAATAATGTAGAAAACAAGATTTGGAGTTACAAACCAAAATTACAACAAGACTAGGGTTTTCTTATTCGTCTTTTACCTCACGGAGAGAGCAAGAATTGTAGTCACGAACCACTGTTCCGGTGAGACTTGCTTTATAGTTGTCTGTGTACTGCGGTTCTTGAGGTCTTTGCTCCCCATGTGGTTTGAGTCACCCGCAGGACTCCCTGTAGCAGTTCTCGGAGGAAAGGTCTAGTGGCCACGTACCCTCTTAGCTTTTGTTTGTCTGGGAATGTCCTGATTTTACCCTGAGTTTGGAAGGATGATACTGCTGGCTATAGAATTACTTGGCTGATGTGGGTGTTTCTTTGTTTGTTTGTTTGTTTATTTGTTTTTGAGTGTTTTGAATATATTAGCACACGGCCTCCTGGCCACCCGTATTCCTAATGAAACATTTGCATATAACCTTATTGGGGATCCCTCCTATGGGATGGTGTGCTGCTTTCCTACTGCTTTCAAGAGTCTCTTTTTGTGTTTTGTCTTTTATTTTTTTAAAAGATTTATTTATTTTAGAGAGCACTTGAGGGGGAGGGGTGGAGGGAGAATAAGAGAATATCGAGCAGACTCCACACTGAGTGTGGAGTCCAACGCAGGGGTCAGTCTTACAACACTGAGGTCATGACCTGAGCGGAAACAAGAGTCCAGACACCTAACTGACTGAGCCACCCCACTACACTTGTTTTTGTCTTTTATTTATATATATATTTATATATATATATTTATATATATATATATATATATATATATGTTTTTTTGTTTTTTTGACAGAGATCAGAAGTAGGCAGAGAGGCAGGCAGAGAGAGGAGGAGGCAGGCTCCCTGCTGAGCAGAGAGCCCGATGTGGGGCTCAATCCCAGGACCCTGAGATCATGACCTGAGCCGAAGGCAGAGGCTTAACCCACTGAGCCACCCAGGCGCCCTCGTCTTTGTCTTTTAAAACTCGTATTACGTGGCTCTCTGTGGGTCTCGGAGCTCATCTTCCTGGACTTGGTTGAGCTTCCTCACTGTTCACATGCGCGTCTTTCATCAGATTTGGGGTGTTTTCATCCATTACTTCTTCACATCTTCTCTCTGCCCTTTTCACTCTGGCTTCCCTTTCCGGGACTCCCACAACACGTACATTGGTTAGTACCCTACTGTCTTGCACTCCCTCAGACCCTTTTAATTTTCCTCCACCTGTTTCCATTCTGTTTCCCAGACTTGGTCGTCTCCTTGTTCTGTGTTCAGGTTTGCTGGTTCTTCTGCGTCGTTAGATCTGCCTTGAATCTCTTCAGGGAAATTTTCACTTCAGTCATCGTAATTCTCAGCTCTTGACTTTCTTCTGGTTTCTGTTTAGGTTTTCTATCTCCTTATTCATATTTATGTTTTGTTCACATATTTTTTGCTTGACATTCTCCACATCTTCATTTCTTTAAACATCCTTAATACTTTCCTTTTAATGTCTTTGTCTAGTGTATCTGACATCATGTCTTTTTCAGGGGTGGTTTCTGTTGATTTATAATTTTCCTTTCACACTTTTTTGGGTGTTTTTTTTAATGCCTCATTATTGTTGAACACTTTCTTTTTTTCTCTTTTAGTATAATAACGTGGTAACTCTAGAATTCAGTTCTCTCTCTTCCTCAGGGTTGGCTGGGGTTTTAGTCATTATATTGATTCGTTGATTTTTTTATTATTATAGGCTGTCGTTGTGCTGGGTTATCAGTCTGAGGTGTACATTTAATGTCTCCTCAGGTCTTGTCTGAGCCTTTCCGTGGGCACGCACAGTCCCTTCCTAATTCCCACCTAAGCAGCTGTTTCTGAATGTCCTAATGTGTGGCTCCCAAAAGGGAGCCAAGGGGGCCCTTGCCCTTTCAATGCCCTTGGTGTCGCTAGAGCTGGAGCTGGAGGGGTGGCAGCGGTGGCCGCCAGGCTCGGTGTCGGCACCTGTGTGATGGGAAGCCACCGTCAGTGTCAGAGCGTAGACCCTGCTACTGGGAGGACAGGTCCTTGCCCACCTGGCATCTGCAGGCTGTTCCAGAAACACGTGCACAGCTGCCTGCAGCGTGGCCGGGTGGCTGCGACCGTGCTGAGAGCTCGGAGAGACCCAAACTGACGACTTCCCCTGGACAGTGGCAGGCTTCGGCAGACCCCACGGTCCCCAAAGAGTCCCATCAGACAGTCTGCCCCTGGGGTCGTTGCCCGGGTGGGGAGAGATTCCTGGTGCTCCCTGCTCTGCCCTCTTCCCAGCATCCTCTGTCTAAATTCCCTTGTTTTTCACCTTCATTCCGCAGTGCGGCTTCCCTGCTCACTCGCTGAATCCAGCTCGTACACTTGTTTCTATCACTGCACGTACCTGAAGTGAAAAAGGTTGCTAACTTGCTATTTTTCCCCTTCTCTCTCTGCGAACAGGAAGACTGCGACCCACCCGTCCATGAGAGTCTCAGCATAGAAAACACACTGTGGGCAAGCACCATTGTCGCATCAGGTACGAGACACGTTCTCTCACTAGCACCAGCTCTCACATCTAGGTGCTCTGTGTAGTGGAGTGCCTGTGCACATGGTGTCTGAAAATCCTGCCCTGCGTTACCAGGGCCCTTACCCTGAGGGCTGAGTCCTAGGCAAGCTCGGGCTGTGGGCTGTGGGCTATGGTGGCAAGGAGCGAGACGCAGAGCAGCTTGGGGGCTTCTGCTGGTTCTGATTCTCGGCAGACTTCTCAGTGTCCCTCACTCGGAGGTGGCACAGCGCAATTGGGGAGGGAAGTGGTGGTCCTTGGGGGATCTTCCCACTCCTCAGTCACCCAGGAGAGTTCTGAAGAGGTCACTGAGCTGGGTTTGTCTGTCGGGGAGAAAAGTACCCAACGAGATGGGGGCTTTGGGAGGTATTTCATGTTGGGCCTTTGGAGACCAGAGTAAAGCTTCTTAATTTTCTTCCGAGTGACACTGGGGGATGTTGCAGTATTTCTACTGTCTGAACGGGGTGGGGGTGGTGACCTAAAGACACATTTTGGGAAGTAGATTCTCTGGGAGGTATTGAAATCTAAATGATGCTCAGCTTCGCAGAGACTGGTTGACTTAGTACTGGTAACCAGGGGAGAAACTTAGCAGCCGGGAGCCTGGGGGATGCTGGTGAGGGTTGGAAGGCTGGGGGACGTTCAGGGTAGGGCTGCCTGTCTTCTCAATCTGTGGCCCAGCACCCGCAGCCTTCTGTCTCGGAGTTCGGCGGCTCTTCTGATCCCTCCGCAGGCCAGGTGCCGCTGAATGCCCAGGCCTGGGCGCTCGGGGGAAGGACAGCTTATTGAGGCGAGGCCAGTGCTTTACCCTCTGCCAAGTGCCACGGGGAAGTACAGGTGCCCCCAGAGCAAAGAAGCCAAAATCCTTACCCGGCCCGAGCTCACGGGAGGACCAAGCAGGGGCTCCGGGGGGTGCAGGGCCAGGCTGGATTTGGGAGCTCACCAGCAGCTGTGTTGAGGGCCTTGCCGCTGTGGGCGGGGGACGCTGGTGCCGGGGCCTCGGGCCCCGGAAGGGAAGGGCAGAGCAGTGCTGGGCACGCGGGGGCCATGGGGCCTGTGTGCACAGTAGCGTGTGCACTACCCTGTGGGGGTCCGCGTGTGTACCTTTTAGGGACTAGAGGATGCGAGGGAACGTAGTTTTATACTAATGTTTTCTATGTTTAAGAAAAAGCTTGATGGCAAAAAGGACAATTCTAATAGAAATTGAGGCATTTTGTGATTTTTGTACTGATGGTTTTTAAAATTTCTCAAACTAAAGAGAAAGAGAAGTAAGGAGAACACACCAAGGAGAGAGTCGGAGGGAGCAGGCCAGGTCTTGGGCTGTGTAGACCCCAGGAAAGAGACACTCGCTGTGCCTGAGGGGTCACTGTGGACAGGGCACTGCTGCCAGGAGAAGTCCCAGTCTCGTCTGGTGCTTCCTCCTTGCTGCTGTTCTGGGTCACAGGCCCGTGTGGTGCTGTCGCCGGTATCCTCCCTGTGCCGGCCCCCTGTTCACAGGGCCACACAGCCAGGCTGTCGCAGGATCAGGATTTCATCCAGAGGGCTGTCCTCAAAGGCTGTCACCCTTCAGCCTTTAGTATTTCATCATTTATAGGAAAATATTTAAAACATTCTGTAAATACGCTGATGCTTGGTCACAGACTTCACATTTTCCATGTCTACGGCTGTATTCTGTTTTGTTTCCATCATAATGAAGAAGCTTTTTCAAAAATGTTTTATTTGTGATCTTTTTGCTCCCTGTGTATTAAATGTTGCTACTGATCCCCAGTGCTATCGATCTGTGGCCTCTCTCCTCGCAGAGACAGAAGCCCCTGAGTGGAAGGCTTCCGTGATGCCCTTGATAACTCCCCGAACACACCACTCCTGTCCTGTCCTCCACTCTCCGGGTGACCTGGACGCGTGGTAGCTCCTGGTTGCATACGTGGGCAGAGCAGACACGAATCTAGGTGTCACATAGGCTCGCCACGCTGACAACTGTTTCTGACTCCCTCGTGCGTAGAATTCAGTTAGCCCACTGGGCCTGTGTTCCAAGAACGGATTTCTACTGCTCCAAAACCATCCGTTCAAAAAAATTTAAATAAGACACTTCTAATTTTAATTTGTGTTTGGACATTTTAAAAATGCAAGCTGTTTTCATTAATTTTAAATATTTTAATACATACCTACCTTTTATTTAAAAACCTTAATAATTTAAAAACCTTAATAGATTCTGCATATTATCAAACCGCTGTGCTCAAGCAATGTTTGAAAGACCTTGGGTTTCTAGGAGTTACTTAAGGTCTCATATCTTCTTTATACTTGATTGTAAGTTGAGAAAGAAAGACCAGAATTTTTTAAAATCTTATTTTTTAAATGATAGGTGTCCACTGAATTCAGGTTGCCTCCTAGGTAAAGTGAACTTGGGCCTTCCTCCCTTGTCCTGGGGTTCTGAGTGTGTGGGAACGAGGGCTCATGTTAGCACTACAGAGGACCAAGGACCAAGGGTCCCTGAAGAGGGACAGACACAGCTGCTTGTGGTGCCTCCATCTTCCTCCCCGTGTTGGTCTGTGAGCGCCATTCTTCCAAGAGCAGAGTCCATGACAAGAGTGTTCTGATCTTCAACTACCAAGAGCCAGGAAGCAGAGATGTTCCTTCTCGAGCAGGGCTGCTGGGCGCGTGTGCCCACGGCAGAGACCCCCTCTAGAGTGGGGGCGCGTGTGCGGACGTGGTGGATCCCCCAAAGCAAGGCTGCTGGGCGTGTGTGCTCACGGGGGTCCAGGCTGACCCCTCTAGAGTGAGGGCCTATGTGTAGACAGGGGTCCAGGACGGGTACTGCTTGTGATAAATAAAGAAGATGAGAGTAAACACTTGGACACTTTCACAAAGCAGTTTGATGAAATAATTTAATGTTGAAAAAATTGGGCTATACATATGCTTTTGGGTTTTTGTGTTTCATCTCCTTCGGTGAGGTGCGGCACGGTATTTCACGAGACCAGTCCTCGTGACAGCGTAGAAACTTTGAAGTCACGCCTTTTGCTGTAGTGGGATGGTTTGTGAGGCTCCTGCTGCGCAGCGGGGCTGGACGGGCAGCGGGAAGGCGGGAGAGCCCGTGTCCCACTGCAGCCCGCGAGGGGCCCGACCTTGAGAGCTCGGCCGCGCGGCGCTGGCGGTGGGCGGGGGCGGCGGCAGTTGGCGCAGGCGCAGCGGGAGGCGCAGGGGCAGGCAGCCCTGCGGGAGGAGGGTGCAGGGCGCGGGGGGCGGCGCCCAGGCCTGGTGCAGGGCGCAGTGGCAGTCTGTGTCCCCCGTGCAGTCTCTCTGGGTCGCTCTGCTGAGGCGAGCCGCCGCGTTTGTGGGGCCGTCGTGCGCTCGTGTTCCAGCCGAGCCTGGGCTTTGTCGGGCCGGGCCGAGGAGGGCGCTTTGTGCCCAGGAGCCGGCCGGTGCCCGTGCGACAGGAAATCCCTTGGTTGGTTGCGAGCTCTTAGGCCGTCGGTCCGTCTCCGACGTGTTATCTCTGTCCGACTCTCGGAGGAACGCGCTGCCGTTCGCTCCCAGGTCTTCTTTTGGACGTGAGCGGGGGAGCCCTCGGCCGTCTCTCTGCCTTCCGGGCGGAGCGCTCAGCCTTGCCGCCCGGATGCGCCCCTGAGTCCGAACGGTCGGAGGGCCAGGCAGGCGCTGCGCACCGGCCGGCCTGGGACTCAGGAAACGGGCCGACTCCGAGAGAAACGCTCAGTTCTGAGTGCTCCGAGCGCCCTTTGTGGTGCGGCTCGGGTGATCCCATAACACAGATGGCGCCTTGCGAGACGCCGGCGGGCGGCGCGGGAAGCTCCGGGCGCGCTCCGTCCGCTGCTCTGCCCGCGCTGTGCTCCGCGCTGTGCTCCGCGCGGCCCGACGGTCGCACGCGTCTGAGCGCGAGTGCGCTGCTCCGGTCCAGTCGCAGATCGCGCTTTGGGTACTTGCGACTGTAACGCCAACCCAGAATCAGCACTGCTCGTCGTTTGTCTGGGTTTCAGGACAGTGTTTTCCAGCCTGATCACGTTTTATTTATTTATTTTTTTAAATATTTTATTTATTTATTTGACAGACAGAGATCACAAGTAGGCAGAGAGGCAGGCAGAGATAGAGGAGGAAGCAGGCTCCCCACTGAGCAGAGAGCCCGATGCGGGGCTCGATCCCAGGACCCTGGGATCATGACCTGAGCCGAAGGCAGAGGCTTAACCCACTGAGCCACCCAGGCGCCCCCTGATCACGTTTTAAGTCTTTTCTGAGACTCTTTGCTCTGCTCCTATTAAAAGTGATTTTGTAGTTTATCTTGTTTTGTACTTCTTTAATATTAGTGAGCTTACTTAACATGAGACACTCGTATATCCTGTTGAAGTGTAGTCGGCAGAGTAGGAAGAAAACCCTGACGCAGTCGGAGCTACGGTATTGCTCCAGCGGCTCGAGAACTGCTGCCGTGTTTGTCGTGGGCGTCCTCTGTAGGCTGAGGTCACTGCAGAGTGCGTGCTTTCCTGTCATCCGGGGCGGACCCATCGTCTGCGGGTTTGTTTGGACAGTGATCTAGAAAGGTAGCGTCCGCACAGTTTGGGCCGCCTTCCGGGCTGGAGGGGCTGCTCTGCTTCCAAGAGGCTCAGGAAGTTCAACCGCACAGCTCTGCCAGCCGCACACGATTAACAAGGGGAGAAGAAAGGAGATGCTTATTTTGAAAGAAACATGTGTCACCTCTGCGGGGTGACTGCTGAGCAGCCCTCTAGCACCTCCCTGTCTTCCTGAACATTCCATGGGTGAAACTGTTCATTATCTAATGCGTGTAATTTGCAGCTCTCTGTTCATACAAATCCAGATCCATTGCTAGGATTACCTTTATTCCGTGGTCCTGACTTACGACGCACTGAATTGCACACATTGCACTAATGTGACATCAGAGTTTTTGTCGAACCGTTAACAGTGAATTCTGCAGCGCTGTTGGTCTTCAGGAGTGCATGGATGTGATCATCTTTGATCGTTTCTCATCAGAATTTATGGAAACTAGGAGTCTAGACTATGCATAGCTACAGTTTAGAACAGACTTCTGTGGTTTCTAATTTGACATCACAGAGGTGAGAGCCTCTGAGCCTTTGTGACCCAAGGGCTGTTCCGGCTGTTTTCATCTTTTACCTGAAGTCCGAGACGCGCACACACTTACAAAACCAGACTTTAGGAGACATGAGTTAAAAAGGCTAGTTACATCTAAATTCAGCATCAGATATTAGTGATGTAACTGTCCCTCATTGTTTTAATTGTATACGAGCTGAAATGTCCACAGAGGCTCGCAGACCCAGCAGTGCTCGACTGTGTCGCTTGGGGACGGTGGCTCCGCAGGGGTAGGGCTGCTCTGAAGGCCCCGGCATGTGTCCGAGGACTTGAGGACGCAGCGTCCCTGCACTTACCTGCGGGGCTGCCCACGAGGACCAGCGAGCGGTGTCAGCCTTTCTCCTGACGGCGAGAAGATTGTTAGTCCATTTCCTGACGTTGTACGTAGGGAAATTTGTACGGCTTAAGAAATCATTTGAGTTCCTGGGAGTTTATTTTGAAAGTTGGGATTAGACTTTCTTGAACAAGCTAAACTAAATGTGCTGTGAGATAAATTTATGTAAAAGTGAGTAGTGAATAATATTCTCCCTCAAGACTTTGATGAGGGAGTGTTCTCTCTGCTCACCCTTTGAGGCATCTCTGTAAGCACCGCTCTCGTGTTTTCGCAGGTACTGTAATAGGTGTTGTCATTTATACTGGAAAAGAGACTCGGAGTGTAATGAACACATCCAATCCAAAAAATAAGGTAGGCTAGATGAAGGGGCAGCTGCTTTAATGACCGATTTTCCCTTCCAGTAAGAAAGTACGTGCGGTTCTGAAGAGCCTGTTCGTGACCTAAACCAGACTTTGAAAAGTGCTGGTGGCCTCGGGTCTGAATTCTCTGTATTTAATGTGACAGCATGCTCATACTGAAGAACTTCCAGAAGTATCTTTTCTTGGTCAATCAAAGTTTCTATATCTCTTAAGTTTTCTTTGTTGGATATACCATTTGCCCATAATTCGATACTTAGTTGTGGTCTCTTCTTTTCGGTTTACTTATTTTATAATTTGTACTCTTTTTTTATGTTGACGGCTTATTTAAAAAAAAAAGAATCTATATTAATATTTAATAGTATTTGATGGTGTGACATTGTTGAACTTATTTCATTTAAGTTATTTTCATTTCATAAGCATGTTGAAAACAGATTTTAGTTTTAAAGACTGCTTGATTAAATCCCTAAATTAATCATATTTCTGTTACACTCCTGAAACCGTCGTTTGCACAGGCAGCAAGTGTACACAAGTTACATAGTCAGTTTGAATTCTCCGTTGCTGTTACTTGGTTAACACATTTTGTGCGGTCAAGTCACAGAGAGTGCTCATGTCCACTTTATGAGAAGTCTTTTTAACTGTGCATTTTACTCTTTATTTGAAATGTACCTGAGCTGCATCTAAGTAGCACAGAAGAAGCACTGCCACGCATTCAGGACTTGCTTTGTGAGTAACTAATACCTTTTGTAGGAAGTTTTATTGCTGAGCAGAGGAAATGAAGTAAATCTTTGAAAAGATATTTTTAAAGACAAAATGCATTCTATTTTTTCCAGCTAAATACTGTTTCAAAAACCAGTTAGCCCTCCTGGCGTCGGGAAAGTGGCCCTTACAGAGGTGCTCTGGGGCGTGTCGTGTCTGGAGGGCGTCCTTACCCCCGCCAGGGCGCGGCTCCTCCCAGCGGGGCTGACGAAGAGGCGTTCGTTGGACTCCAGATGTCTGTGTGTGACACGTTTACTCAAGTGAAAGACCGTTTCGTCAGTATAAGTTCTGCTGTGATAACAGGGAAAACGGTGCGCGTCGATGTGTACTACAACCTCGGGCTCATCCGGGGAGACCGAATGTACCGCAGGTTATTACTTTCCAGTAGAGTTAGATGTATTTAAAAATGAATTATTAAACAAATTATTGACAGTTACATGCATATCTGTTGGTATGTGTTCTGTAAAGTACAGCGATTGTTTTCTTTACGAAGCAGAACTAGAATGTTCTACTGATGCATGTACAGGTTGTAGGTACGCTTTGTTTCTTAATCATTCCTAGTCATTTTGCTTTTAGGATGACTGTGAGGGTAAATTTAAATATTAAATTTTAAAATCTCAAAAGTTACCCTGTCATGTAACACAGCTCCTGTGTCCTCCTGCCTCACGCTTCAGGACAGCTTCCTTTCTGCCCCCTCCCATCGTCTGTGTCGCACATCCCCGTTGTGCACACGCTTTTGGTTTTGGCTGCCATGCTCTTCCCCTTGGGGGTGGACACGGTTGGGCGACCTTTCTGCAGTGTGTACCGGTGGTGAAGAACTTCGGCCTGGGGCTTTGCTGCGCGGCCAGAGTCCGGGCAGTGCTGCCGGCCAGCTCTGTGATACTGGGCAAATGGCTTGCTTCTGCGTCTTACCGCTCAGCACCTCTTACCCAGCATTACTGTCTTCCTGTACCGTGAAGTGTGCCTTGAGAGTGAGTGCCCTGAAAACACTCAGCGTATACCTAGCTGTGCAGGCACCCCGCTCCCGCTGCCCCGCCAGGTGGCCTGGATGTGCTTGTGCCCCAGTCAGCAGTCCTCCCTCCCTCCTGTAAAAAAAAAAAAAAAAAAAAAAAAAAAAACCAAGCTTGGCAATGTCCTTGGTGTTAACATAGCATACCTTAATAGGAAGGGTATCTTTGACTTTTTGCAGAGCTGGATTCAGAGCCTCTCTCTGCCGCTTCTCAGCCTCACGGGTGGCACAAACATGCTCTTCCGCTGGCTGGCGCCTTCCTGGTGCTGCCGTCAGACCTCCCTGCCAGGTGGGACTCCTTGTGACAGAGACAGCTGAGGCCCAGGCAGAGCCTGACGCGTGGCAGTTGCTGCGTGAAGTACTTGGTCTGTGACTTCGTGAATCTGCACCACTGCGCTCGGAGGGAACGGCGGCATCTGGTTCTGGAGCCGGGGACGTTGTGGCGCAGGGGTCTGTGCTTATCGCGGGGGGGCTGCTTTCTCTGTGGAAGCGCTGTGGGTCAGGGAGAGCCACTTCTGTAAATTCAGGAGTGCTTCCAGGAGAAGAATGAAATCTCTAAATCTGCATACCTTATTAAATCTTCCCAAGTGTCAAGTGTCAGATTCATAAGAAAAAAATTCGGGAAACATTATAAGCTACAGTGGCCAAAAAGTCACAGGTGTAATATATCTAGGGGAAGTACTGTGTATGTTGAATGAGAAGATTATGTGGTGTTTGAATCCCGAAAGAGGGAAAGGAGGACAGAAAACGTTACTTGCTGTCAGACATTACATGAAGACGACATCTCGGTGTCCTTCAGTAGGTGACTAAACCAGCGAACCTTTGGACTTCAGAGAAGGCCCCTGGACACAAAAAGGAGGCATTTCAGAGGGAAAGCAGATAATTTCCCTGAGTTTGCCTTCTTTAGAGAAGCTCACCATTCCTCAGACTCCGTTCCGTGGTGTGTGGAGGGCAGCGACGGACTCGGCGATGGGGAGACATGTCGCTGTGGAGTTCACGACAGCAAAGGAATTGGGGCTGGAAATCTGTATTTGTGAACGAGTCCTCTCTAAGTCATGCTGTGGTACAAATTGCCCTAAAAACTGCAGTGGCTTTACTACAACAGAGACTGCTTTTCTCCTCAGTGTGTGTCTGATGTGTGGGCGGGCGCGCTGCGCATCACTGTCCCTCAGGGAGCCCTGCTGGACACGTGCCTCCAGGACCGCTGGGTACGAAGACGCAGGCGGGAGGGTTACATACCGAATGGCTCAGGCCACCCTTCCTTGGCCAGAGCAAGGAATAGCCTCATGGAAGGTGAAGGAGTCAGAAAGGGGCAGGCTGAGCCCCAGTGCGGAAGGTGGGAAAGGGGAATATTCAATGACTTAGGGCCATGGGTACCCCGTCGTGGTCATCGATGAGAGTTCCCAGGCCTTTTATGTACCGTAAGAGCCAAAACAAAACAGGAGCGGACTAGAGCCCTCCCCAGTGTGGGCACGGGGCTGAAGCGGAGGAGGAGGAGGCAGGAAGGACGGTCGTAGCCCGGGGGGAGGCCTGCAGTGCACCGGCGCTGCAGAGGTCGGTGGGGAGAAAAATGGAGAGAGACGAGTGGATTTAGCGACAGGAATCATTGTCTGTAATTGTTGTGGGGGACCAGATGCAGAAGCAGTTGGGGATACCGGGGGTGAGGGGAAGGCCCGTGCGGCCAAGACTCGGGAGGGAGCCCAGCGTACCAGGTCGGCCGCGGGGATGCAGGCAGAGGGTCTAACTGGTTTTGTTTGTTTCTGATGAGAAAATGGTAAAATTTCATGCTTTCCATAATTTATAAAGGAGAAGCTGTCGTCTGTGGAAGGATGAGTCTTAGGGGCGTCCCGCGGCCACTTTGGATCCCTGGAGAGAAGATTCCGTTGTCAGCGTGGAAGAGCTGCCGTGTGCAGTAGCGCACGGCCCCGTGGCCCTGGACACATGTGGACCGTCCTCAGTCCGCCAGCCAGTGTCTCTCGCTTCGTAGCGCGTCCATGGCCCGCCTTCCCTGGAGCGTGGGGAGAAGGTCGTGCTCATTTGTGCCACGTCTGTGCGCTTCCGGGACGCAAACACTCCTGGAGGAGCAGCGCTGAGCGGCGGTGGAGAAGCGAATGATGACTGTCACTCCGGGACAGGGATGCACAGTGCGGCCGGCAGGAGCTGGAGAGGGTTGGCCCAAGAGTTCACCTCCTGTTCTCGAGCTGTGTCGAGCTGTGTGAAGGCCCCCACTGCTGCTGGATTCTCCCTTTCGTAGCAGAGCCCATCAGGGGCGTGGGGCTCTCTCGGGCCGATGTTCGGGAGCCCCAGAGCAGAAGCAGAGACGTGGACAGAGAAGTGGTTGCGCCAGAGTGACTGGTGGTGGGGCAGGTGGGCCACAGCCACAGCCGCCTGCAGGTGCTCACAGGTGGCACTGCTAGACGTCACAGCCTGCCTGTGGGGCCCCTGTCTCCCCCCTGGGAAAACACCAGCCGTCCCTGCGGGTTGGGGGATGTGAGTGTGACTTCCCCTGGAGGCCAGAGGTGTTCACCAGCACCTGTACCCTTCAGATACCCTCCTGGGGCTGAGTAAGGGGATGTGCGCCATTTAAGCAGTCGCTGGTTGCTTCGAGAAACCTGTTTTTAAACTTGTCGTTCGGCCCATCTCGCTTCCCAAGCCTTCATTTGGGCATTTCTCCTTTTGTCTTCAGTTGGTCTGCTTTGTTCTTCTGTTGCTGCTTGTCAGAAAGTAAACGTTACACAGAAAAGTGAGGCGGAAATATGATGGCGCGTCTCATATTCTCCTGCGGCGACAGACGCCCCCACTTGTCGCCAGCGCGCATTTTAAATAGATGGAGGCAGTCTCTGTAGCTGCTGCCGTTGCCGCCTGTCTCCCTCTGCAACGCTCTCTGTCCACACGGCCCCGTCTTGTGGCCCCGCTGAGTGGCCTGGGGCTGGCGACATCAGCGTCACCACCGCCTGCGCAGGGGCTGCCCCCGGGTGTCTCTCCTCCACCTCCTGAGTCGGAAACAGAGGGTTGGGACACATACTGATAACCGAGAGCCTCCGCCTCCGTCGTGGCCATGACGGTCTGAGACGGAAGAGCCTTCGTAGGCAGCTGGACTCCGCTGGGGCCAGGGTCGCTGACCGGCCAGCGATGCCCCTGCGTGAACTCGCGCTTCCAGAGTGGGCCTTGGAATCTGAGGTGATGATTTTATAGAATCAGAACGTACAGCTTTAAGCTTATTGACA